AATATTTTAAATAGTTTTAACAAACAGGGGCAGATTGGTCATTTTTACATTAAACAGCTGGCTCACAACATTTTCACACAGCTGCACTAAACAGACAGTCAAATTCCCCACAGCTGCTTCCCTGTATGGAAAATTTTTCGTTTGGTCGTGGTTTGGATTAACTGTGGTATCATAGGACTAGGTCGATAATGTGATTTTTTTTTAGTGCGGCGTTAGGTTAGGTTGTACGAATCCTTGGTTTAGGCTAAGAAGGACAAATTTCTAAAATTTTAGGGTTTGTCGGGCGTTGATACGATATGATATCATTATAGAGTTCCTAGAAGATGTTTAGGAGTACAAAAGGTTTTACAGAAGTTTAATGATTGATTACTTGAGTGGGAGGATGGTTGCGACTGAAAATTAGCATGAACTATGATAAGACAAGGAATCGAAACCAAAAAAAGGTTGGTTTCCTGCCATGAGCAACACATTGTAGCGGTGTCAATGGCTATCCAATTGAAAACAACACACAAACAGCAGATCAGTGAGGGGATCCACCATTACGGGTGATGGCTCAAGCTAAACTCGACTCGTGTATACCTCTATCCACCACCTATTCATAGACAAGCTACAAATATATATATATCACTTGTGAAAAGAAGAGGCTACGACACTCCGACTAACATAAATCAGAGAAAATCTCTTGAAATTTATTAAATTAGAAAATCCAAATCAAATAATCAGAATACAGCATATATATATGTCCATAGTAGCAAAAAACCTAATTAGAAACTAGAGAATTAGGCAAGAACCAAAATGGGAAGAAGCAAAGGAAGTAAACATGCTGGAACTAAAGAAAAAAGATAAATAACAGAAATAAGGAAATCTTGGTAATCCAGGGACTCCCGTGATCGTTGTGTTCTCACGATCCTGCGTTCCACGGGATTCCGCGATACTTCGGATGCGGTAATGATGCATCCGAGTTACCTACTATTCCATTGAAATTCAACGCCTTAATTTTGATAGAGGCATGAGATACTTTAGTTACATTTTTGAAAGTCACCTAAATAATAATGATATTATCGGTCAAAGTAATACACTCAAAAAATGATATAGCCAAAAAAAAAGTTATATATCTTGAAGGTGGCAATATATATTATATTCACCACTAATACCTCTACATTTCGTTAGTGTGATTTCATACTCTCAGTCTACTATCTTATAAATTTTCTACATACTAGTGTGCTTCAGTGCAGAACTCCAATTAATGTATTTCTCAAATGCTTCTGAAATACTCTTATGTAAGGGTGTCAAGTTTGTTTAATGGGTTGAGTTTAGGTCCGACTCGAATTTGACTTGAGCCGAAATTGGTTGCCCTGAACTTAGCTTATTTATTATACAACTTAAAATGTCTAACCTGATTCCAACTTGATACA